TGTAAACAAGACGGAACCGATTACGAACCTGGGTCCCTAAAACTGATTATTTAACCACTCAGTCTGGAAAACGGTGGTCAGAAAGCTGAAGGCCAAGGGAGTTCCAAACTCAGTGGCCACGTTTACAATTTCCACAACTGTAATGTGGGGATACACCAAGGACATGCCGGACAGGCTAACGCTTCGTACACAACAAGCCGCGATGTATAATTTGTCCCCAACCATACTCCTTGCCAGCTCTGAAGGTTTTTCAACTTTGTACATTTTCGCTTGACTTTCATTCAGGCAGGTTTTCTTAGACCATAAAGTAAATTTTTTGTGATAATTTCACTTCAAAACAAACTGTCAAAACTTTATATGGCCTCGTGCAAAATTTTAGTTTCAGCTCATTTCAACGAACGCCGTTGTCATTTCATTCATCAGTTCATGACGAATTAGAACCAATCATTTAAGAAAAATTTGACAGTTGCCTTAATTTTGAAACATTATGAACAAGCACGAAGAATTCGAAAGGTCTTTTTAGAGAAGAAACTCAGAGAATTACGAACTTTAGCAATAATGTGTGCTTTAAACTAAAACTATATTCTTCTTAATGTTCTCGATTTTCTGGCGATAGAATAAACCAGTAAAAAAGTTACGGTTGTGAGCGTAATTTGTCACCCGCGATATTAAAAGGTAATCAAATGGTTTTCTCGTGAAATTAGGAAATAATTTCACTTGCGTTTTGTCAAAATTTTGACAAAACGCGCGTGAAAATATTTCCTAATTTCACGAGAAAACCATTTGATTACACATACTAAAACAACCGAAAAGTGGATAGTTGCCGTCAGCGGCAGCTCAGTTTGATGGGACAAAATAATTAAGAGTAGACATCTAGAGAAATTTTGGCTATGAGCGAAGAGCTCATAGCTGCTTTAATATACAACTATCCATTGGAAAACTACATTAACAATAATAACAAATGGTATTCCCATCAAAGGCGAGGGCAATGAACCGCCAAATAATCGAAATAACAGTGTGATAGAGCGGTTTTCAATTGATCTCAAACCGAAGTAAAAACCAAAACAAAAACCAAAGTGACACCTGATTACTTTTGACACTTAACTGAAAACCGCCCTAAAACAAAGGAAGGAGAGGCAATAAGACAGGGGAGGAAGTGGTTTGAAAAGGTTGAGAACAGAATGTCCAGCAGACTTGAGACTAGATCAGTGAAAGCACTTGGTGATAAGAGCCCCGGGGGGATATTCCCCCTGGGAGACTCCCATATAAAAGGGACAGGGGTGCTCGTTGTACCTTTTAGGGGTGTTAGGGAGTTCAACCCCAAAAGGTCCGCAGTGGGAACTTTTGCGGAAAACATCTGACAGGAGACAAATAATGTTTTATTTTAGAATTAGTACTTCTTAGGGGTGAAAAAAATTTCAAGCCACGCCCACAGAACAGGATCTTGGTACCTATTAGGGGCTCTTTTCAAAATTTCCGACAGGCACCCCCGTTCTTTCTACATGGGAGCTGTTCTCCGGGTGATATTCATTAATCATTAATTATCAAGCTTACATTTTTCTTCTTGTGGATGTTTTAACTGTAAGTTGCTATGAAGTAGCAGTAACTACAGATTTGCGATCACCTCTTTTCAGTTGTGACGTGCATTACAAATGGGTTGCCCGTTACCCTCATTTCGCCTGGTTCTCACTACATGTACGACATAAGCACAAGAATGATGAGTGTGAAATGTTTAATCAAGCAACCAGAACGATGATCCTGCTAGTATACGTACGTTGGATCAATAGTGATCTAATCGGCTTCACATAGAAAATGAAGAATATAAAAGCAGAAACCGAAACAACGTAGGATAATGTTTTTTAAAATGCACACTATATTTCGGCCGGCCAAACCAGCCTTCTTCAGGTACAACAAAAATTTCACATTGGAAAGGGTGTATTTGTAGTGATTACGGTATTTGCGTAATTATCATTCACCGCTAAATTCACGAGACAGTTTGCTCATAGAGCACTTTGATTATTGTAAAAGACCCAATCGCGTGTCCTTGCTCTCCGTTTCTGCTCGTTTCCTGTTTTATTAATATATTTTGATTGTGTTGCGTATTGATATGCTACAACAAGCATTTTAACAAATGAAAATGCTGTACTCCCCGAGAAAAACTAGTTTCACCTTTACCTCCCTGTGATGGCCGTCTCTCAAACAGCCATTTTCCTCTGTCCTCAAGGTGGCCGGCGATGAGGGGAGGTTCGACTGAACTTCAAGATACCTGATATCTTGCTCTTGCCGTTACATTTGCTGTTCACTTTGCAGCCCGCGGTTCATGTTTTAACCTCAAGACTAGGCTCTACTTCCAGCCGCGCTCCTTCCCTGACAAAGACCGGACGCGAGAGGGCGGCGGAAATCGAGCCTACCTCAAGACCTGCCTCTTGTGCTAAATGATTTGCGTCAGCATTTCGATTCAAGACCACAAAATCGTTGAGAACTCACGTTCAGGCTTTAGCTTTATTTTTGAGAGCTTTAACACTTACAGTAAGCAAACGATATATTTTTTTTAAACTGACTTGGTTCTCTATCACGGCGGGCGCCTTTGACCTACTTACTTCGTTTCTGTAATTTTCCAAATCAGGAGTACCCAACGACAGTTTTGAAGAAAATCCACTGTACGGTCTGCTTAACATTACCCGAGTGTCGCTACGTCAATCTTGTTTAATATTCAACTTTCCTGGGAAAAAAATACCCGCTCTTCACCGCCAGCAAGCAGGTTTTCGAAGTT